GGTTCTTCGACTATTTGTGGTTCTCGAACTTCTTCGAGATCTATTCTACTCCCACTGACTCTCTTGGAGACGAACTCTCTCTCCAAGAAAGATCCATTCCGAGCAACAAACACTTTGTTCTCGGATGGGTTGTAGAACCAGTACCCTTTCGTTTTCTTAGGGTAACCCACAAATATGTATTTATCAGATTTGCCGGATAGCTTATCAGAAGCCAGACGTTTCACATAAACGTTGCATCCCCAAATCTTCATAAACGCTAACCTGGGACGCTTCCCAGTCCATATCTCATATGGTGTCTTCTGAACCGACTTTGTTGGACAGTTGTTCAGTATAAGGACAGTTGTTTCCAGAGCATAGCCCCAGAAGGATTTAGGAAGATCGACCTGACTCATCATAGACCGTACCATATCTAATAAGGTTCGGTTCCTCCTCTCTGACACGCCATTCCAGTGTGGCGTTCCAGGTGGAGTCAGCTGTGAGACAATCCCACAATCTGCCAGATAGTCAGTGAACTCTTGGCTCATATACTCGCCACCTCGATCAGATCGAAGCAACTTGATCGTCTTGCCAAGTTGGTTCTGTACCTCGTTTCTGAAAATCTTGAACAATTCAAGTGTTTCAGATTTATGTCTCATCAAGTAGACATAATCGTACCTACTGAAATCATCAGTAAACGTAACAAAGTACAGATAACCTCCTCTAGCGGGCGAGCTCATAGGACCGCATACATCACTATGCATGAGTTCTAGCAACTCTGTAGCCCGTTCTCCTTTTCTAGAAAAAGGAGATTTTGTCATCTTGCCCATCAAACAAGAATCACATGATTCAATTGACTCACAATCAAAAGAATCAAGAAGTCCATCAGAATGAAGCTTCGCAATGCGTTTCTCATTGATGTGGCCAAGTCGACAATGCCAGAGATAGGTCGGGTTTAAGTCGTTCGGCTTAAACCGCTTGGTACTTATGTTATAGATCGACCTGTATCTAGATGGTTCATCTTCCAAAACATAAAGGCCATTAAACTGGTAACCCTTACCATAGAATAAATCACCTCTATAAATGGACAGACATTTGTTCTCAATAACAAATCTGAAACCATCCGAGTCTAAACATGAAAACTGTCGACTGTCCCTGCTGATGGCAGGTACAAAATAACAATCATGCAACTCCAATACAATGCCAGAAGGTAAAGTCAGATCGTAAGTCCCGATGGTTAATGCAACAACTTTTGCTCTATTCCCGACGCGGAGATCTACTTCTCCTTTTACCAATTGTCTACTTCCTCGAAGTCCTTACACATTTCCACAAATGTGTGAGGCGCATCCGGTATCTAATACC